GCCGTCAAAGAAACACTGATGCAGCTCGAGTGGGAAGTTCTCCCGCACCCAGCGTATTCACCAGACTTAGCTCCTTCGGACTATTACTTGTTCCGGTCGATGCAGCACGGCTTGGTGGATACACACTTCAGAAATTACGAGGATGTGCGAAAATGGATCGACGAATGGATTGCATCAAAAGACCAATCGTTCTATCGTCGCGGAATCTACGCGTTGCCCGAAAGATGGGAAAAATGTATAGCTAGCGAGGGAAAATACTTCGATTAATGTATTTTTTGCTTTTGATGTCGAAATAAGTGAGTTTTTTAAACAAAAAAACCGCAGGAACTAAGTTTACCACCTAATATGTCTAGTTGTAATATAATATTCGTAAAGTATTATTTTCGAGCTATAAAGCATTTTTCTTTCTACTTTTTATTATCATGTTAAAAATGGCAAAAATTTATTGGAACTCCATGATACCTGTTACGAGTTAACGTGCTGATGGTATAAAACTTCGATATCTTATCGCGAATATTCCCCGCACGCGCGTAATCTAACCGGTGAAATAGCGCGAATAATATATCTTTAATTTGTAAACACAGCTTGTGTGCAGCATCAGGCAGCGACGTATTGGTGAGCAAAGATCTACGGGTGGGAACGTAATTTCGTACGTGCCAAGAATGTCTATTTTCTTTCGTAACAGACACTCGATATTCCGCAAGCCCTTGGTGGCCGCCAAAAAGCGCGGCGCGAGAAAACAAGCGAGAAGTGCTTTTAAGTATGTAAAACTATCTCTCTCGTGATCTGAGACGGCGGCTGGAAGTGTCGTTGCCGCCGCCGTCGTCGTCATCGTCGTCGTGGCGATCCCCTTCTTGCACCTCTCGACAGCCATGGTATCACATCTCATTGTACGCTGTTTTCCACTCGTTTGTCGTTATCGTCGCGGCGCGGTTCTCCTCGCCAGACATTCACGGCTTCTCGCGAAGCAGTCAAAGTGTGAGATCGAGCATAAATTTTTCGTGCGAACGAAAACAGATGCCGTCGTTTTCACAGATTCCCGAACGTGAGATTTGCCGAAGATCGCGCTATCTCGTGTCAAAATTTATTCCTCAGCGCGCCTCGCCGCGCGAAGTATTCTATTATCGTGCCGATGAAACTTTGATCACGCGGATTATCCCGCTTGGAGAATTCCGAGCCATCATTTTGGTTCTCCCGCTATGCCGTTTTGGGATATTTAATATTCTCAATTCTATTCAAGTAAAATATCGCGTAGGGATTCACCGTTAAACCTTTTCACAGCACAAATTTGATTGCCTCTTCGAGCGATTAATTAACGTCCGGGAGTTGGGAAATTAATTATTATACAGATTATATTGTCCTCTCGACCGTAATTATGGTGTAATCATGATAAAATGGGAAAACAGGAATGATTTTTCATGCAAAAATAACTCAGAAATGCAAAATAAAATCTGTTCCTGCCTACATTGTTTAAGTCGGCCTATATTTATTATAAATATAGGCCGACTATAGGTTTTATAAATCACTACTTCTATTCGTGTCTGCACAAAAAAAAATTAGTATTCACTTGAAACTAATATACTTAAATTAACAACACCATTGTTTTATATATAAGTAACATATATAATTTTGTTGAAAGAATTTTTAAGTCTTAAATTTCAGCAATGCCTTAATTTTATTTAATATTCTTATTTTATAAAAACTATAATATCATTATTTGGATGATAATCATATCTTCTCTCAACATTTAAAAATATCATAGTCCTAATCCAATATATTGTATTTTCAATTCGTGAAAAATTTTTTTAAATAATAAGAATATATTTTATAAGAATATATTTTTCTTCTTAATGCAATATCTTTACTTTTAATTAAACTAAAAATTATTTTTAAATAATAAAAATATATTTTTCTTCGATGAAATGAATTGATGCAACTTATTTTGTAATCTCACTTTAAGATTTAAATGTAAAAAATAAAGATATTTTCACAACAAGAATGTTCTTTTCTTCTGTATGTGTTTCACAAATTGCACAACATAATAATATGGTAAACCCAACAAAATGCCATTCATTAAACCACGTCGTAATTGAATACACACATATTCAGCAAATAAGCCCGATTGATTTTCACGAAAATGAAATTTTATTCTACGCTTCGACCTATTTTTGCATGAGGAATCATCCCTTTCGCAATTGTGTCAAGATTACAGCCAGCTTCTATAGAAACATCTACTTAACTCGACCTCCGAGTGTTCACTATCGTTGCAATAAAAGCGCCCCGATAATTACAGAGAATGAGAGAATCAGTGTACATGTTCTAATCTTTATTTAGTGTTTCGAAGGATAAGTCCAGGTAAGTCTGGCGTTCCGCGAGAGCGCAAAACCAAAGAGGCGGCCATCGCGAGAAAAACGAAGGGATAAGACGAGAAAATGGCCCGCCAACGGATTTCGCCAAAGGATAACCTGACGAGTAGTAAATGGTGGTGTTCTTTGTCAAAGTGTACGTGGTGGATATTACGGCAGGTGTTTTCGTCTTTCCCGCCACGTTGATGGTCGACTGGATATATTGCACTCTCTCCGGTCCTTAGGGTCTCGTAAGGATAATTTATAGGGTCGCCCGGGCCGCAACGAATGGAGAAAGAGAGAAAAGAGGGCCTTGCGTGACGCGGAAATTGCTGCTCGAGTTAAGAGTACAATAAAAGTGCATTTAATCGGCGACGCGATAAATTCCGCCCGGATGTGTCGAGAGTATCGACGAGTTCGTGTAACATTATTTAATTTCACATTTTTCCTGCTTTGTACGAAGAATTCGTATCAAGTCGCGAAAGTCGCCGGCAAGGAAGTTTTATGCCGAGCGAATAAAACGTGCTTAATTTGACATAATTTTCTGCCTTGAAACAACTGTATTCGTTTTTGCAATCAATCGATGATCGTAAATTCCTCGCCTTACGCCTGATGAACTCGCTTAATCCTCTGGAATTAACTGACCGCGTCCATCAAGGTGATACGGCAGTCTTTAGACATTTACGAGAGAGATCTTACCTGGCACGGTGAAGTATGTCGTATGTATTCAGCGAGTCTACGTCGATTGGTTCGTCTTCGAGCTCGCTCTTCGGAATTGGATTGGCCGTTCTGATGATCAAGAAACTTTGAAGATAGCTAAGAAGATATATAGGCAAGGATGCACCCTCCTCTGGCACCATGGCTAATCTTCTTGCCACCCTCTCCACCTAGCAACACACAATGAGAGAAAGAACTTTCAGAACACAAAACTGTCATTTGTGCGCGGGAATCCTGCCAACTGAGATACAGCCAGCGATTATATGAAGAAGAAAGAAGTTTTGGGGAATAATTTAAGTTTCAATTTATTTAATACAACAAAGAGCGCCATCCGGAAAATCTCTATTTTTCACAAAAACGCTTCAAACTGCGAGATACACAAAACCAAAGCAAATTTTGTGTAAATTCAAAGAATGTATATATCATACACATTTTAACTTGTATACTTTTGGGGACGAGATTATCTTGCGCAAAGTGGATGGAAAAGAATACGTGGGGGCAATGTGATTCCGCGGGGCAGAAGAAAACGGAATAATTACCTTGAGGAATCTTTCGCGCAGAGCATCTTCCGGAAACACTCCTCTCTTGGCTGCCTCTTCGGGAATGCCTCGAATAGCGGCGCACACCAGAGGATCGTCCTTCGCTGCAAAAGAAGCGGAAAGTTGAATCGACGTGAGCACCTATCCGTCCACACACACACGTACACGCATACACGTGCCGCGCGCACTTCATTTATTTGATTAATTAACCACTTGACTGACACGCGCGCCAAAAGTCGCGCGCTTTATGCGAGAAGAAACTCGCCTTACTTCTATACTGGAAATATGTTATTGAATTTAAAAGGTTACTAATCATATGTTTTTGACATCAAGGAATTTTAACATCCGAATTTTATGTCAAAATTAAAGAATTTTCAAACCACGATGCATTATCGTCTGTTTAATACGCACGGAAAATTCTTTCTTTTACATTGATTTGAGAACTAAAATTATACTTTTATAATATTGTTTGTTAAGTCAAATTATAATAAACATTTCTAAAACATATAAACGTAGTTAACCTTTGCGCATTTGCTGGTAATGTGAATCATGACCCCGGAGTATAATCTTAGTTCTCAAATCAATATAAAAGAAAGAATTTTCCGCGCATATTAAACAGACGATAGTGCATCGGGGTTTGAAAATTCTTTAATTTTGACATAAAATTTGGATTCCTTAATGTAGAAAACTAAGATTAGTAACTTTTTAAATTCAATAATATATTTCCAGCATAGAAGTAAGGAGAGTTTCTTCTCGTATAAAGCGCGCGACTTTTGGCGCGCGTGCCAGTCAAGTGGTTAATTGCAACACCAATTAGCGACTCTAGATCCGCTGGTTCGGGCCGACATTTCGAGAGTTTTTACAGTCGGAATTAATCAGTACACGCAGGCACGCGCATACACGCACGCAAATACGTTATTCGCGCGATAACCCAACTTCCGCAATGGCACAATTTGTTTTGCGGCTATCGAATCCACAACGCTTCGGCTACGTTTTTCCCTTATTGCGCGAATCGGTTACCGTACTGTACAAACTGCGTTGCGGGTACACATTTCAATCTGTGGTTTGCGATCGATTATTGCGAATAACATCACACACACACACATACACACACACATACACACACACACACACACACACACACACATATATAGAGACACATACAGATAATAAGCTCTCTCAATAGACTGATGTACACAAACTTTATAACAACTTTAAATATATCAAATCACGCAATTCAACAACGTTGAGCCCCTTATGATCAGATTACAATCATATTTGTCACATCAAGCGCCGCGGTCGCGGCGCGACGCCGAGTACATATCGAACAAAACAACGCGACCGCGTAATAAGCTTATCTGGAGTTTCTGGGTCGATTGGTCTTCCGGTCAAATATCTCAAGCACGAGAACTATAATCGAAAATCTGAAAGTTTCCTTATATAATGTTTAGCACGCACGTAATTTGCACCAAGTTTGATTAAGATTGGTGCAGGCAATACGAAGATCTCGAAATCTCGCTCTCGCTAAAAAGTCCTTTTATTTTCGCGTAGATTCTCAGATTTTTCAAATTCAGATTCACACGTACGCACACACACACACACAAGCGAATGAGTTTGTCCATCAAGCAGCGTTTGCATCGCCAAGCGATTCAGCTTCCAATCACATGTACACGCACGCACACAAGCAATGCGCGTTTGTCCGTCAGATTGCGTTTGTAATATATACAGGGTGATTCAGAAATACTTTTACAAACTTGGGGGGCGGGTTCCTCACACCAAAACAAGAAAAAAACTCCATATAAACATATGACCTTTAATCCTTAGTTTTTCAGTTATTACGCCGTGTGGGAGTATTTGAAAGGGTGCGACAATTCATAATCCGACGAGTGCATGCGTGTATGGAAGCAAGAGGAGGACATTTTAAACATTTATTATGAGTTTCTGAGTTGATGACAGTTTCACTTGCTTATAAGTTGAAAATGTCTAACAGATGTGTAATTATATTCTTCCATTAATAACTGAAAAAATAAGGATTAAAGGTCATATGTTTATATGGAGTCTTTTTTCTTGTTTTGGTGTGAGGAATCCGCCTCCCAAGTTTGTAAAAGTATTTCTGAATCACCCTGTATAGCTGCTGCAATAAGCAGCATGTATCTATAATGATTGTCATCGATTCACAAATTTACGCTAGAGGAAAAGATTTATGATCAACATTTAGATGTACATATCGAGCTGTATTTACAATTTCACGTACATTTTCTTACAGTTTTATATCAATCTGTGCTTGTGACGTTCGCGATCCGCATTGCAAACGTGTAATCTGAATTTGAAATTAATTGGCGAGACAGAAAAGATTTTCGTAGATGAAATATTATAAAAATTTCCGTATAGACTGCATCAATCAGAATGGACGCATATTACGTGCGTAATAAAATCGATCATGTATTTTCTCGCCTAGCATAAACTCATAAATAAAATAGGACAATTTCATCGATAAATTTAATAAAGTTCAATGATTACTACTGTTCCAATATTCACTGCTAGTACTAAAGATCTATAGTTTCTGTCATGTGTACGTATAGAATTTCAATACTGGCAGTGAATATTGGAACGCAGTCTGCGAGTTCACATTAGAGGAAAAGATATATTACTACACGAAGAAAATTTTATAGTAAAATGTGTTACAAATTTATAAATCCAGTCAAAACATATTCTATTACTTCAATTGCCAAAAAAGTTGGAAAAACCATATACTTTACAAATATTAATAAAATACAATTTTAAAAGTTGTAAAAATAGTGAAAAAATATTTATTGTGGAGAAAACTTAGTATAATTGAGAAAAACGAGATAATAACAAAAAATATCTTTATTTTAAAATTATGGTTATTTAAAACTGCTAATAAAAAAACGTTTAAAATCACAAATTTAAAAATTAAAGGTATATCTGTCTGCCTATACGTCAAAGATACGTATAGGCACACAGATATATATAAAATTGTTAGTGTAATTTTCCACAATGGTGAAAGTATAACTAATGGACATTATACAAACGTTGTGCGCAGTAACCACACAAAATGGATTTTAATTAATGATTCCACAATAGAAAAATAAAATTAGCCACGAGACTTCAAAGATGCTTACATTTTCTTTGCTGAAAAAGTAATGTAATAAGATTTGTATCTAAATAATCTATACAAAAAGCAGTGAGATCATAACAAACAGTCTTTACAAAAGAAAAAGAAACACCGACGTATCAAAACAAAACAAAAAGTACATGTTAACTAAATCAAAATGTAGATGTTTTTAATTAATAAATATCAATAATAAGTATTAATAATTGAACGCTGAAATATCCAAGTATTAAATTGAGAAAAACTTAACATCGAGGATCAAAAACTCGACGTGTCCCAATTAATACATCATTCTTCAATATAAATGTTTATAATGCTACTAATAGGGAACTCACTATGGGGAAATCTATATAAATGTTTCATAAATTCAAGACTGTGTGTCGCCGTATATAGGAATGACTTTTCTGTATGAATATATTTATAAGTTTATTTATGAATTTATTAATTGGGGCATGCCGAATTTTTGATCCTCAATGTTAAGTTTTTCTCAATTTGATACTTGGATATTTCAGCGTTTAATTATTAATATTATTAATACTTATCACAATTATTTGTGTAATAAGTACTTACATATACATATTTGGTTTATTATATTGATCTTACTTCTTTTTTTATTATAATTAATTAAAAACATCTATACTTTGATTAAGTTAACATGTATTTTTCGTTTTGTACTTTTTGTTTTGATACGTATTCAGCGTTTTTTTTAAATTTTAGAATGAAAAAGCAGAAATACGAAAGAAATATTTCAAAAATTATCCAAATTTACTCAAAATATCGCATCATATTAAGATAACATGAAAATGAATATCTGAGTGTAACTTTTAGGAAGTTTGTTCTTACATCAATACAACAAAAAATTTACATTATTGCATGATGTAAATTTAATAATTGATTCAGGACTGATTTTCCCAACTTCTTGGTAAGCTAACTAACAGTTAAATCATATGTTTATTTTTGTCTAATTTGAAGGAAAGACAAAGACAGACATGTGATTTAGCTGTTAGATAGCTTGCCAAGGAATTGAAAAAATCGACCTTCAGTAGAATGTATTTATTTTATAAATGTAACTAAAAGTATTGTAAAGTTTCCATCATCAACTGTGTGTATGTGTGACTCACATGGTGATAATCATAGAAATCTATCTAGGTCACTGCAATGAGAACGGTTTTCACACGTTGCAGACGATCTCTCATGTGAGAGAATGATCGTCGGAGACTTTCAGGGATGACCCTTAATCCGCTGAAGCGAGAGGAATTTGGTTGATTTGATCGCGAACAGCGGTTTCAAGACGGCTAACGTCTCTAAGTAGACGACGAGTGGCGCCTATCTCCAAGTCTCGACGGGGGGTATTCGCGTTGGTAATTCAACATTTTAACACGACAGAGCCGGAGACCAGGAAGAATGATTTACACGTGAAGATAGCGCCCCAGTTACTGGCAATTGAATCTTGGCCTTTGCTCGTGCAAAAATCACGTACGTACGTATAGAAAATTTCATGGGATCTAACAGAGATCCAAAATTTCTTCAACATTTTCTCTTATCTTCATTTTACATTAGAATTGAATAAAACATGTTGACTTTCCAAATAATTCTATTATTCAGTAAAATGTGTCAAAGCATTTTAAAAATATTTTATGTTTTATTCTGTTAAATAATTGATATAAAAATTTCCTGTTTAATATCATAAAAATATGCCGACCGATTGAAAAATAGCGTTAGTTACCGCAATATGTTTATATTTGTTTGGATTTCTACACACAGACAGAGAACGATTTATTGAATCAAATAAATGTTTTTTTGAAATAGTCAAAACAAATTATTTGGTTGACACAACAAAAATATTTCTTTGGAACTAAGTCGCAAATAAATATTTTTGTTGCTTCAAACAAAATTTTGTTCAATCAATCAAAAAATTCGTTTGGACTATTCCAAAGAAGCGTTTATTTGATTCAACCAAATCGTTCTCTCTGTGCACAAAGAAGCCACGTTTACGACAAGAATAGGTATCGTAGTGAGAAAACTTAATTAGGGGCGAATTTGAGCACTCTAATCAGAGTCTAAATTGAATCTGGGAAAACCTTGGAAAATTTTTATGCGGGATTGAACGCCGTGCCTTTGACTGGCTGTGGCCAGGGGTTGTGGAAATTGAAATCACAAGGGCGACTCCTCGATAGTGAATTTAAGCGGCGGAAACGGCGGAAAAAGCACGCCCACACACATACACGCGAAACGAACGAGCACGTGGGCCAAAAGCCCTCGACAAAAAATTTATAGACACTTCGAGCAATTAACTTCGAACTCGACTAGGTAGGTAGATAGGTAGGTAGGTGAATGGCGAGGAGGAGGCGGGCATAATTAATGAACACGAACGGGGCACTTCATCAGGCTGACACGGGCTCTTTGAAATGCCCACCGTGCGGAGCCTTTATGAACGTTCGCTTCCGATTAAGTCATAAATCTTCAACGGGGTTCTCTTTCGCCGTGGCGAGCAGTCGCGCCTCTATCCGCGCTGCTCTCGCGGTGCCCTCGGCATGGCCCACATACACACATGCACTCGGTTCGAGAGAGACCCCCTCGTTTCTATTGTTCTGGGCTTTCATACCGCTTCGGAACGAAGGTGGTACCCGCGCAGGAGAACACGCGCGAATTGCTGGGACCTGTGACGGCTGCGACGGTAACGGAGGGCGACCAAGCGCGATTAAAACGCGTGTGGAACTCGTTTCCGAGCTGAAAAACCGCTGCACGCCGGAACAATGCTCCCACGGACTTAGCCGTCGCTGAAAATCAGATTACAGGCGGGGGTGGTCGCATCACTGCGCTCTCCGCATAGAAACTTCTCAAGAATAAGGCATAGATCTCGATCAGAATGCCCAAATTTGCCCTACGGTTAATTATCCTACGATACCGCAATGGAAGTTTCTCTATTCTTACTCCAAATATAAGTTCTCTAATTAGAGTTGAAACAAAAATGCTACGGAAATTTGCGCTTTTTTCAGTTGGCAACGTCGATAGATTTTTTATAGTATCAAGGAGGAAGTTCCATTTTTATATCAAGTATTGTGTCCATTCAATAGAATTAAAAATGGAGAAAAAATATTTTTGATACACGTTTGGTATTTTACTGACTAATAAAATTACATGGAAAGTTAATACAAGTTTTTGTTCAACGTAAAGTAAATAATGTAAAATAAGGAACTTTTCCTAAATAATTATTCTTCACGAAACTTCGAATTTTTCACTTAGAATCGCATTTTAAATATTATGCTTCTAATCAAAATACATAATTATCTTAAGGAATCGGACTAGATTTTGAGAAATTTTTTCTATGCTGGTAACGTTGGTAAATTTTTATAGTATCAAAGGTTTGGTATTTTTGTGATGATGAATAGAATAAATATGAATGGAATAAAAAATTATAAATAGGATAAAAAATTAAAGTCTATTATTTATTTTTCATCACAGCTGAAATATGATCAACAGAATAAAAAGATTAAGAAAATAAAATAAAATAAAGATTTTATTTTAATATTTTATTTTTATTTTATAGAAAATAAAATAAAATATTTTTACAATACTTCGATATTTTACTGAATAATACAATTATTTAGGAAATTAACATATCAAAAGAAGTATTGGAAAAATGTTGAGTTTTTCCTAGAATTACGTGTTTGAAACATTATACTTCTAACCAGAATACATAATTATTTTAGGAAGTCAGACTAGATCCTAAGAAATTTTCTTACTGATAACGTTGCTATACTTCTGTGGTATCAAATAAGAAATCCAACTTTTATATCAAAATTATTATATTCAGTAGAATAGAATATTTTTCTTTATTTTTTACAACACTTTTTAGTATTTTACTGAATAATAAAATTATTTGAGAAGTCAAGATATGTTCCGTTCAATTCTAATATAAAATAAAGATCAGAAAAAAATATTGAGAAAACCTTGATCTTTTCACTTTGAATCGCATGTCGATTTGTCAAATTACACTTTTAAGTACAAATATCATAATTATTTTGGAGAATTATATTGGACCTAATGGTGTGATTGCAAGAGATTTTTTATGTGGCTAACTTTGATATATTTTTATAGTATCAGAAGATATATATAATAATTAGTACAAAATGGGATTCCCCTGAGTTCTATTTTGTACTAACTATTGTATTCAATGGAATAAAAAATAAAGAGAATAAAATATTTTTATACATTTTCTTGAATTTTAATGTAAAATGAAGACTGAAACCCAATTAAAACCAAAGAAATTTTTTATTCAAGATTCGGGAAAATTAACTTATGTCACGATGACGACATCAGTGTGTTACTAAAGTAATCGATGGTGTCTAGATCGCGGAGGTGCGTGATACGAAGACACTCGGCCGCGATAATGTACGTTCAAGGAAGGAGTATCGAAGTAGGAGCGATACCAGGTGAAATATGAAGCTCGGCTTTTACGTCCGAACGCTATTGTTGCGCAGCGCGGGGCCCTGAAAGCGCGTTTCAATTTGTACACGTGTGAAATGCCCGTTGTATCGCGTCGAAAAAAAGGAAAAAAAATAGAGGAAAAGAGCAAAAATTTGCAGAAGCGAAACGAGAACATTTTTTCGCGAATTATACACTTTTTAATGCCGAGGCGCGAAATAATAAACGGTGATAAACGTCAGGCTGAAATTTAAATAAATCGCGCAGTGCCGTGTGGAAAGAAAAAAAAGAGAAGGGAGAATGTCAAAAAAGTGTTACGTTTCCATCTATCTAAGTACGGGCTGTTAATTTAATGCGTTTCGGTGGAACAGTAATTAAATATAACACGTAAGCTTCCACACACGAACACACAAACGATGCGCGTTGCAGGCTTAATTAACTCGGCCTGCCCTCTATATTAACCAGCTTTGTCTTCGAAAAACGCGTGCAATAATGGCACACAGTGGCAGGTTAATATTAATTACGAGCGACTGCACTGCGCGGTGTCTTCGGCCACGAGCGTAAAGACCCGCGATGCATTCCGTAGGCGAAGTTTCCGCGCGCTACTTTGAAAGTTATTCACTATATTTTCAAACGCGAACCACGAGCTGCCGTGCGAAATTACTTTAAAAGTACATCGCGCTGCTACTTCTTCGCTTCGAGAGGGAGAGAGAGAGAGAGAGAGCGTTGCGGAATGCTTGTACGTGCACGTAAATAAAAAGCTTAGCAGCTCAAATAAGATCTGTTTCTCGCTACGAATTACGCATTTGTATCATTTATTTTTAATTTTATTTTTATTATTATTATCGTTACACTTCTAAACTGACTCTACTTAGACTCCCCAAACAGAGATCATCATTTTCTTAAGAAATCGAATAGAACTCTAATTAGATTACACGAAATTTTCTATGTAGCTAAAAGTTTCGCACGTATCAAATTTAAAATACATACGTGTATAATCAAAATAAAATTCAATCAAAGTATACACGTAAATGTATATTTACATTTTCAAACTATTTATAATTATTAATTAAATACTCAAAGTGTTTCATATTTCTTGTTCAATTTTAATATAAAAATAAAACAAAAAAATGTTTGAAGAAACATTTGATAGTTCAAATGAGATCTGTTTCCCGCTTTAAAATGCGCGTTTGAAACATTATACTTATGAATCGACTCTGCGTAGATCCTCCAATCAGAGTTTATAGTTTTTGTAAGAAATCGAATTGAATACTAATTAGATAGCAAGAAAATTTCTACACTGAGAGAAAAATTACTTTAAAATCAACAAATATTTCTTTGATGGATGCCATTAACATATTTATTTAAATCTAAATTCTCTTTATTTAAACCAAATATTGTTTATTTAAATCAGGTAGACAATATTTGACTTAAATAAAGAGAATTTAGATTTAAATAAATATGTTAATGGCACCCATGAAAGAAATATTTGTTGATTTTAAGGTAATTTTTCCCTCAGTGTATGTGGCTAAAAGTTTCGCGCATATCACACTTAAAATACATACGATCAAAATCAAAGTCAAGTATGTACGTAAATATTTACAATTTCAATATATTTATAACTATTAATTTTTTATTAATATTCAATATATCAATATCAATATATCAATACTCAATAATTATTAATACTCGAAGTATTTTATATCCCGTTCAATTCTAATATAAAAATAAAGCTAGAGAAGATCGTTAGGAAAACATTTAGCAGCTCAAATGATATGTTTCTCGTTTTGAATTGTTTATAACGTTACATTCTTAAACCGATTCTGCGTAAATTTCTCAACTAAAGTTTATAATTTTTTTAGCAATTTGGAGATTGGATTTCAATTAAATACCACGAAATTTTCTACGTAGCTAAAAGTTCTACGCGTTTCTACGCGCTTAAAGTTATCAAACTTAAAACACGTACGCATACGATCAAAGTCAAACTCAATCGAGATACTCACATGCCGCCTTGGAAACTGCATTAATTTCAGGTTCTAATGGTCTGATTACTTTGTCCGTAGGTGTACTCGGCGGTCCAATTTTCACCGCCCGAGACAGAGCTTGACAGGCTGACCAGAGGATCTGCACGTTCGATAGACCCTTTTCCTCCTCCATGCGGGCTGAAACAAAAATATTTTCACCCAAATTTATCGAACGTTCCAGTGGTATCATCTTTCGGCCAGATGTTGGGGGAAAAATGGTCTGGTTTATTAAAAATTTAAATAGACCTGTTAATAGTTCAGGGAAAAAATTTACACACTCGCGCCGCCAAGAGCAGAGTTTTCGTTTCTTCTCATTAAAATAACTTTGCATTCGCGCGATCATAAATTACCCAGAGGGAGATAAGTAAAATGCCTCTGCATTCCGACGCTATTTCGCGCTGAAAACTTAAATAGCGTAATAAAATTCTGAGTAAGAGCAAAGCTCGACAATATTTTCGCCCGTGATACGCGCGTGTCGCTGTTAATATATGCGATAAACTATATTAATTGTCGCTATGCATCACAACATCGTTGAGTTTTAACTTTCGAGTTAAAAAAAAAAAGAACAAAAAAGGAACATGCACACAATCGTCGCTCAGAGAGCGACTAATAAAATTCGCTCGTCTAATTTAATTTGCGCCAACGTACTGGACGAAGCATCTCGATCGTTAGGGAATCCACCAGGGTGTCCCTGTCATGTCACAGCAACGTGACAAACATTTTGCGCACATTTCGTGACGCGGGCAAATTTTTCGATGACAACGTTCGCCGGGAAAATCCCGTCGTGTCGGTATACGTAAATCATGGAAATCCTATTCGAGTTGTGCGCGCGCCCGTTCTGACTATCCGCGAGTGTGCGTGCGTGCGAGTTATTCATAATTTATAAACAAAGCATGTCTACAAGCAAAGATAAAACTAGCGCGCAAACCCTGTAATCCGCAATTGTTTGGATTAAGTACTCAACATGTTGCTGAATTACGTGATTTAGCATATTTTGAATATCAAGTTTATGTATATCAATCTATCAAGGAGATTGTCATGATTATCACGATGTGAGACAATCGAAATTTTAAATATCTTTTAATTACATTTATGAAATAAATATACTCTGTACTGATTTAAGGGGTTAGGCCACAGTAGAATTTTAAAGAATTCGAAATTTTTCTTTGCTTAAATAATACTTTAAGGTCTTAGAAATAAGATACAAAATGTTTCATAGGTAGGAAAAGTTTTGTAACAGCTTATTAAGAGGATTATGCCGAGACGCCTCCCAGCGTGCCTTGAGCGCCTTTGACGAGTCAAACATTATTATGCTTGTACTTTTAGGGATAATAAAGGGATTCGTTACCGACTAGTTGAAAGAAATTTTAGTAGTTTTCTGTACCCATAGAAGACACAAGAAAATATATTTCGTGTATAGCAGGGCTTGAAACGGTTTGCCAATTTCGGCTCTGAAATCTGTGTCTAGCGGCAAACATGTCCTCGACATGGTCAGCAATATTGCTGTGTATATCTACAACGATGGCTTAACTAGTATTATGAGGATTATGGAAGTGTTGGGCATCACAATTGGGACCAATTGCTATAATTTCTGCACGAAGGTCGACGAATGACGAATAGCAGCTGCGGAACGATCGCTGACTCCAGCTGCAAAAGAGGCTCGATTATCTCTAAAATCGTTCAGAAAGGAAGAAGAGGAGAAGAATTTAAATTCAGAAGGGTAATTGTATGATCCAGGCATCGCAGACTGAAGGTAAATAAAAAATTCCTATATTTAAACACTAATTGAAACTTAAAACACGTTTTCTCGAAACCGTATTTTTCAAATCGGGCGAAAGAATAACTCGGTCAAATCTTTACAGATTCACTTGAAATTTTAACTGCAGCTTTAAAACGATATTTTACAGAAGTACGTACGTAATTTTAATTTCATTGCAAACTTTTTTTGTTATAAACAATTTTCTCGTCATTTTTTTGTGTTTTGAAAATATCAATTAAATAATAGGAAAAAGGGCTAATTCGAGTTCAAGCACAGAATTAATAGTGCTATGTACCATATGGGTAAAACCTTCCTTGTGTTAGGAAATAGAGCAATATTTATTGAACATGAATACTCAATATAAATAATCAAACGTTTCGGTTCAATTATGAACCCTCTTCAGTGATATAAAAAAACTCAAGGTTTACAAAACAAACGCGTTACAAGTAAAAGAATTAATTAAAAACCTTAATAAAATGACATGAATGTTATTCGCAGTATTATAGCTGACAAGACCGTTACCCGACTAATATTAAGAAGTTCAAATTAATACTAGGAAGTAGCCGTCATAACTATAAAAAAACCATAAAATAAAATAAAAATAGGTAAGATTAAAATATAATAAATAATTAAAACGGTGAATATAAATTACCTTTGTTGAGCTCGGCTAAAAGTGAAACGATCCTGTCAACGATAACATCGCCACGTCTAAGTAAAAGAGATAATAAATTTATATACACGAGCATTAACATTGCGGCGACGACTCTTGGAAGAGAAGGAAACAAACAAAGTTTTATTTTCATAATAAGCCGCAGTGGCTGTTGCCCAAATATTCTGTGTCCTTTTGAGAGTTAAGTCCATGCTTTTGAAATTTAATGTAAATCATTTCTGATATCAGGCGTTTCAAGTAATAACGTTCCTCATGCAAAACTTTGGCTTGATCCCAATTGAAATCATGGTTTTTCCTCAAACGGTTCTTGTATGGCCGTTAACTCAACTATAGAACTCCTTGGTATTCTCCTATGCTCAGCAATGCGCGTAGAGAGTCTTCTACTGGTTTGACCAACATACGACGCCTCACTACTACTGCATTGCAATTTATATACAACGTTATTATGGAAACCAGGAGGCAACCTGTCTTTATGCACACGAATCATTCCTAATAATTTATTATTGCAAGAATAAGCAATATTTGTCAAATTATTTTTAAAAAACTCTGCCAGTCTGTTCGAAACCACACCAAAAAACGGTATGGTAAAATATTTTTTATCATAATCAGATGCTGTCAAATTTAAAGATTGATCGAATTGCTTTTGCGCGGCGGATTTAAATCTCTTCTGCCGCTCTCGTACCGGTAAAATTGCATCTCTTCTCGTTATTATTCGCAATGCACGTAGCATCTGTGATGAGAAGTATCGTTCTCTTTTCGAGAAAGATAGGGAGGTAGAGGTCTAGATTTAAAAAATTTTTGGATTTTTGTTCTAGGTAAAAAATTATGGGAGAAACCCTTTCGCTTGTGTGACGATGTTAAAATGGAAGGCCTCTACAAGCGAATGCGTATCGTCGCCACTTTTTATTAAAAAAAAGAAAATTAATATTTAAATAGTAAAAAATAGGCAATTAAATGATTCATTTGAATTTGCCTAACCCCTTAATTATTTAATTATTTATATACAATTTACATTGCACAATAATATAAATTTCTTATTGTATTAATGCAGCAAGAAATTTTCTAAAAGTTACACTCAAATTTCATATTACATTTAATATAATATATTATTTTAAGCAAATTTGGATAATTCTTTTCGTATTTCTATTTCGCCATTTTATGTAATAAATATGAATGTAATCTGATTAGTCATAAGAGACTTAACACGTTGCGAATTACGTGATTTAACATAATTTAAGTTGCTGTCAAGTTTACGTATATCAATCTATCGAGGTGACTGTCATGATTATCATAACGTGAGACAATCAATGATAGAAACTTTAAATTTCTTTTAATTACATTTATAAGGAAAATATCTATACTAAATTAATTATTAAATTTACATCATACAATAATATATTATACATTTTTATTAATGGAGCAACAAATTTTCTAAAAGTTACACGCAAGTTTTCATATTGCATTTAACATAACATATTATTTGGGGCAAAGTTTAATCATTTTTCTCGTATCTCTTTCATATTTCTATTTCGCTATTCTATATGATAAATATGAGTGCAATGAGATCTCTCATAGGAAGTTAACGTTGTTGAATTGTATGATTTAATACAGTATGACAAATTGCTGTAAAGTTTACTTACTCTTCCAGTGTATCGGGGCAGGACTCTGCAGGAATAATCTCGCGATCGTGGAGGAATAAACAATCGCTGTGCAAGCGACTTTTGCAGTCGACATGATCGGATTAAAAGTGCGTTCGGCGGACAAACATCGTTACATTGCCGTAAATACTTCCGCAGGTTACCCAGCGCAGCACGTGCATAAAAATATCGTTTTAATACACCACGCGTGCATGCGCGCGCGTGAAAAACGAGATAATGAAAAAGATAACGCGATAGCGTTTTCGATTTTCGCAGTTATTTGTTCCGTCGTAATTAATGGAGCGATTGTTGAACAAATTATCCTCGGGAAATAAATCGAAACTTAATCGGCGCTTGCACACCGGACTGCCCTCCCTCCCTCTCTCCCTCCCACCCCCTCAACGCGGCTAATCATCAGGGTGCCGCGGCGGAATTCGCGATTGATGAACAGCAAAGCTGACACAAGCGAGAAAGATGTTCCGCAGCGGCCGCGTTAACGCCTCGGCGAGATCTACATTAGCGCTCAAAAATCTTTTGACAGTCAGTTTTCCTGATTAATTTTCCAACAGTGCTATTATCGGTTCAGTTATTCGTTGACCTTTGTACAATACGGACGTACTTTTCGTTATAACTCGGATTCATCTCCAGATTTAAGTAAGAAATACTTTATTTACAAATAATATTTGTGATTGATAGATCAAAAGTCTTTTTACACATTTATTTACCGCAAGTAATTATCTCTTAAACATATACGTGTCAATATTATACTTGTTTTAGATAGTATAAGTTAGTTATGACTAAAAGGCAACGAAAAAAATATTCTATTGACTTTAAGGAGGCTGTAATACATGCTCTGAAAGAGGGACGCAATCAGAAGTTGCCTGTTTTGGTATATCTCGGCAGTTAGTGAGTGTCTAGAATTATCGACAACAAGTTCAAGATCATGTAAATAATAAGCCTCGTCAAGGACGGCCTCGGAAAACATCTGTAAGAGTCGACAGAATTATCAAAATGACATCAGTCGCTGATCCGCGCAAATCTACGCAGCACATTACTCGTTAATTACAACAAG